CCGGCAAATTCAAATTTCGATTTTTCGAGGGGCCGTTTTTGCCCAAATGCAGTTAATTGAAAAATCGACAAAAATATCGATAAGCTAGTCCTTTTCGAACACTACAAGCTCCATTAATCAGATTTTAATTTCTGTTATTCCTGCAGCCGGAAAAAAATAAAATCTAATTTCCCATGTTAATTTCCTATATCCAAACCTGCCTGGGACAGCCGGTATATACAAGATCATCAATATCATTAAATAGACATAAAAATGTCAAATGTCAAAAAATAAAAGTCAAAATTTTTTGACAGATAAACATTTTTCCATGTTCCTAGTATCTTACCTTAATTCAAATTTTTCTCTGAGGCGCGAGTTCTGACACCCTGTATTTATTTGAGAAAATAATATTGAGGGATTGTTTGAATTTTCGCATGGTTGTCACCTTAAAATGATCCCTTTCAACAACTACTTCGAAGCACATTAATATGAAAACAATTATAAAAATAAAATGGAAATTAAATAATGGATAGAAAAAGAAGGTTGGTAGATGTCCAGGAAGTGTAAACGGTTCGCAAAAACGTACTAATTGGTGAAATTGTTTCCTGATTAACACAAGCGATATTAATTAATGTCATTTGAATGGGCAGCGAGGAGCCGAACGAGCGTGAACAGAAGGCCTGCGACAAAGCGTTGGTAAGAATACCGATTGATCAGGCGACTGATCCAGCATCGAGTGCAGACCGTGGAATAATTTAACGATGCGCCCCCTGGATTTTCGCCTGGACCCCTACCTGTCCGATATTACAATATTTACGACGTTGCAACCGTCGGAAACGACGTTCGATACACGTGCATGATCTTAAAAGAGCATCCGATGGAAAATTACCCGATTTTCCAATAGTTTTTCTAAATTCCATCAAAGGCGTCTTGCTGATGTTTACATATGTTGGTAAAGAGAAGAGGTGCGTTTGAGGGATTCACTCAGTGGTGTCGGTGTATCGGAACTAATAGGTGCTGAGCACGGCTCGCCACGCGGTCATTTCACCGGAAAACCGTTTGCTGTTGACAAATCAGGCGTACTTTACACTCGTATCGTCGAACTCAACTAACTGAACATCACTGCATTACACCGGCCCAAACCACCTGTTTCGCCACTGCTTGCCCTGTTTGCGAAAAAATTACGCAGAAAGGGTCACAAAAGTCCCTTTGCAAAATCATCACACTCTGTATTGAACAAAACTGTCGAAAATCTAATAAAACAAGATATCTCCACAATTTCAAACTCTTTTGCAAATCTAGAGAAATTAAAAAAAAACTGTCTAGAAATTCATTTTTTTAGTTACTTTTTATTTTTATATTTATTACAATATTTACTATTTAACCTTTTTATTATTTAAACCCTTATTTATTAGTACATATTTTCAACAAATAGTTGCTAACTCTAATCTAAACTAATTTTTTTAAATTTTTAGCAGAATGTTTATTCACAATCACGAATGTAATATGCCAATTATTAAAGGTTGGGTGTTTCCCATGTTTCTCATGAACAGTGATACCTAACATCTTGGGCGGTAATATACAATATTGCCAAGGTTAAGATTACAAAAATACCGGAAATTTTTTCTTTCAAATTGTCAAGTTACGCCTAACATTGTGCTAAATTAATATATTCAATTGCTTCTGTAGTAGTTTTTCTTCTTCTAGGGGAGAGCACTACTCTATTTCAATAATTTTAATATCAGATTCACAGATTACTTCAATTTTTTATGACATTTCTGAAATGTCAAAAATCAAATGCAATTTAGATGGCCAACCACGTTTGAACCTTAACATAGAATTTTATTTATTCAAATTTTTGACTAAAAATAATGTGATTGTGAAAAAAATAGCGTATACAAACCTCGGTAGTAATGTTATTACTCCTTGTGCTTTATTCGATCTCGAGACTGGCGCCTCTCAATCGTATATACATATAAGCACTCGGGGTAATGCCACATTTACCACCTCGTTTGTAATCTACTATTTTTACTTGTATATTTACTTAGGTATAGTATAGTATGGTTCTTACCACTCTGTTATGTAATACACGGTGATTCAAAAGGATCAGACAATCTCTTATATGGTGATATAAAAACATAAATAATATATTTTTAAAAAGGGGCTTTAAAAATATAAATGCAGTAGAGCCCCGATTATCCGGTTTTCGGTTATCTGGAAGTCCGCGTGTATTGACCTTATTTTTTTGATAAAATTCTCAGAAAGCGATAAAAATCCATTTTTTTGTGCTTGATGCACACTAAATTAATTTTTTACCTTTTTGTACATAAATAATATGCTTTTAAAAAGTGGTTATAAAAAGATAAATGCAGTAGAGCCAACTACTATTAAATTAAGATACTCTGACATGATTTGACAGAAAAAGCATGCTTGTTAAGCAAATAAATTTATTATGGAATGTATTTTTTTTTCAATTCTCAATTCCTAAAAAATCCTCTTTTGCCATCCTGTTGTTATTTATAAATCGTTCTAATTTTTCGTTCCTAAATAAAAAAACTCAGCGGTTTTAATTATTTTTTTATAAAGATATTCGCATCTAATCCGTAAAAGTGATTCGGATTTGATTTGGAAATTTGGATACGATCCGTTACAGTGGATTTGATTTGAATCTGATCCGTGTTCGGTTTTTGCTATCGGGACGAACAGCACTATAGATTTCCATTTCAACTAAATTTTTCCGTTGCAAAAATCGCAAAAACTCTTGAGTTTTACGAAAAATTTCTACCACAAAAGTGGACAGTTTTCACTAAAAATATATTAGTAATAAAAGTACACTGACCGGCATAATTATCACATCACTTATAAATTTTAAGATTTAATGGCTAAAGGGTTCTGAAAATAGTACTAAAATTGATGATATAGGATAGTAGCATTATCAAGTAACTCAGTCGACTATGGATTTTTCAAAAACAATTGGTGTAGATTCATTGTTTACTGATTACATGTCATCAAATTATCAAAATCACCGCAAATTTTTGAGACAAAAATAAAAAACTGAAGCTCAGTTTTCCAGTTTTCCTTCCCAGGCTCGAGAAGGCAATACTAGGTATTAATGGTTGCCTCCGAATGTAAGAAAAGCTTATCTAAGGTAAAAAACTGATCCGCAAGAAATTCGCTTTTCTTTCTTTTGACAATCATTAAATTGTAGTTTAATTGTTGAAGTTTAAGTCGTAATTTTAGTTTAACTTAACGTTAATTAGCTAATTAATTAATTTTTGATGCATTTATTTTTTTTAAGCATTGTTTCTATAAAAAATCACTTTTCCCATATGATGCGATAATTTTGCCGATGAGTGTATTTAGCAAAAGATTGATTCACTTTAACTTTACACAGTAGTGAATAAATAACTAACCATTCAATAGTTATTTTTGTTACAAATACATATTCACGCCTCTTATTAATGGAAAAAAAATTGCCACCATAGTAACCAATTTTATTTCTTAGTCCGGAAAAACTATTTTTGGGGACTGAGTAGGTACTTAAAATAGCCATTTTGCGTACCTACTATTTTATTGAGTCCGGAAAAGACTCATTTTAGGTTCTCAAGAATAAAAATTCAAATTATGTTATTTTTTGTAAAGAAACTAAACTTGAAATCTGAAATCTTGAAATCCATGCATCGAAATTCTAAAAAAAGTTCAAAAACTGAAAATTAGTTTTTTATATTTTTTGTAACTAAAACATTAATTTTTCGTCTTTATATGAAAACTGTTACAACTCTTCTTTATTTTTCGTTGAAAAAATTTCATTGCCCAAACCGTGGATGACATGAACTTTTCAGCAATTACATTTCTCACCGTCCCGAAGGCAAAAGACGGAAGAAATCGAATCTTAGTCCATGTTTAATTGAGTTAACGATGGATATTGAAGAATAAAATCCGGCGAGGATCCAACATTGTGGAAAACTGCCTTTAGACACTCATCTGTTATCAATTACACCTTTCATTGCCTTCTTTATTTAACAGTGATGCATTTTAAGCGCTTAATGATCTGAAACTACATCGATATTTGTTTGTTCTCCATCATGAATTCCAACCTGTTACTAGCAGCCATTGATTTTAAGCAATTACCCTTTTTATTACCGACTGAAATCATAAGTGTGCACTTGAAAATTTGGCATAAATTATTGCTGGGAATTTAGATGTTTGTAAAGGCGAGACGATTTAGGTTTAATTCGATCGGTTACGCTCTTTGAAACTGTATGAGGACAAAGACAACCATGTTAAATTATATAAATGAATTGCTTTATACGAGTGGGTACGTTACACAGACACATTTGTACAATAAATTAATCTATTTATCGAGGGTTACTTGACACGATTCCAGGGGCGATAATTGACAAATCAGGGGCTAATCAATGTTTGTAGATGTAAACAATATTTAAAAGTCTTGCTGTAGGAACAAAGATGTTGGTGTAAATGTACACGTGCTTAAATAGATGACTCAAAGTTTGTGTTTAAATACATTTTTACTTTTGAAATTGTATATTGCTACAAAGAAATTAAATATAAAAAAACTGCGCCCCCGGGTGGGCTCGAACCACCAACCTTTCGGTTAACAGCCGAACGCGCTAGCCGATTGCGCCACGGAGGCTTATGGCCTCATTTTTAGCCACACAGCATGTATCTTACTACGCTAAAAAAGTCAATACTTGAACAAAATTCGGAACGTTTTATTTGATTCATAAAAAAATTATCATACATTCGTTTAATATCACATACATTGTACAACCTAACAAAAATAATACTGATATGTAACTACAAAGGGGATAATAACAAATATGCAATAATAAATAAAGCACTATTTAAAACACTAAAATTATTAATTAATTTTTAATTTTAAAAGGTTCGGTATTAATACTAATAAAATAGACAATCCGAAGTTTACCCTCAAATGGATTAGCAATTTGTCTTACAAATGAAGAATAACCTAGGCAACCACCAATACATGGATATTTCTCACATTGTTAGTTTCTTTCTTTCCTCAAAAAACTGAAACAAAATTAAAATTTCTATTGTCCAAAAATAAACAATTACCTTTTGCATATTAGTGAAAGTATCTAGAAAATTAAACACTTTCAAAGATTTTTTAATCCAATCAGGCAGAGCTTCTTTAGTGGCAGTTCTGTTATACCTCTCATCAAGTAAAAGAATAGTTGCATAATCATTTTTGTGTCTTACAGCTCGACCAATTGATTGATTTACTGCCTTCATACACAAACTTTCATAAAATCTTTTACCAGCACCACTTCCCTAAAATAAATCACAGCACAACTCAATTATTTCACGAAAAATTAAAATTACTTCAATTTTATCTAAATACGACATTTTTTCTTTTAAATCCGGCGCGGTAATATTTGCGTAAGGTAATCCAACAACGATAACACAACGGCCTAAATCATCGCTAAAATTCAGTCCTTCGCTCAATTTGCCCCCTAGGAATCGTCATTGAAAATGTATTCTGAAAAATGAAAAACTCACCGACTACGCTTAACAATAAGGCACCAGACTTCGATTTGTGAACAGCGTCGGAATAACTTTTCAGGACAGAATCAACAGATCCGCAATCTTGAGGTTCACGAAAAACTAAGCGTCCAAAAGCCACGTCTTTGATTTGTTGCCAAACCCAGTTTTCGTAATTATATGAAGGGAAAAATACCACAATTCCACCCTTGACGACTTTACACACTTCCTGAATTATTCGTGTAATGCACCCGCCCTAAATTGCAAATTAATCTATTAAGCTAACTCGAATTTATACAAACCATTGACATTCGGCGTTCAAAATTGAATAACAATTTTTCTTTATTGGGCCCTTCGGTCATTATGACTGGCAAAATATTCTCAGGAGGGATTATGTGACCACAAGAAAATTCCACAATTCGGTCGGGTGAAACACCAGAAGTAATAAATAACCGATTTCTAAATTCTTCAATTGGTTTCATTGTGCCCCCACAAACTATCACAGATCGGGCAAGCTTGACGATGTCTTCAAAATTTTTAGTAGGATTTAAAAGCAAAAATTGTAATTTCATTTTCGACTTGTCTTGATTGGTGTGAATAAAAATACGGCCGTCTTTGTATGAGTAAGTCAGACATTCCAGAAATGAAATAATTGCAAGTAGTGGATTAGTTAGCGAAAAAGCAACCGGTTTTTCATCCTTATTTTCTGTCGGAGCTTCATTTTTATTAGTGAGACTAGATAAAAAATCTTTAACACCCTTTTTCGGCGTCTTTTCGACAATACTTTTATCGAAGGGATATTTCAGAACGTAACTTCGAACCTGAAAGTGTTGTTATGCAACCAATAATACACACAAATAAATTTCGTACTTTTTGGGCTATTCTGCTATCCTTACAAAACTTGACCAAGCGAAACATGTTAAAATTATCAATTTTGGACGTTAGGACAAAATTTTCAATCGTAAAAACATCAGTCTTTTCCTCATTACTTTTATCTGGAACAATAATATAGCAACTATTCTTACATTAAAATAATTATTTTTACCCATTAATTGCTGCAGTTTTGTGATCACAAAAATCAGTTGGTTAATTAATAATAAATTAGGTGCAGAAAAACGGGTATTAAATCTCTGTTTATAACATTTGACCTGAAGCAAACCTTGGTCTATCTGATTGTAAGTTAGTTCAGAACTGTACATTTGTCCCATCGCTTCTAGTAAATTGTGAGCTTCATCTATTATTATTACATTATCCTTTAAATCAATACCTTTGGAATTTTTAGTGAATTTATTCTCCAAGCTCAACTTACCATTAGCTTCCCTTGTCGCCTTATGCAAAATAGTGTTGTAAGGAACTAGAACAACTTCAGCATCTTCTGCCGCTAATCTACTAGAATAATACGGACAAGCATTTAAATCTTTGCCCTTTTTAACCAAATCTTCAATATCTTGTACTTCAGTCAATGTTAAATCTTTTAAATCTTCTATAGTTGTTTGCTTGTAGTAAGGACATTTGGTGGTTGTCCCTCTTGGCTTTTTTATTGTTTTACCGTCAGCATCTTTCTGTGATTTGGTTTGTTTTTGCATATCTAGACATTTTTCGTTAATGAGAGAATTGTTTTTTAATTTGTTAACGTTGGGGTTTATGCAATAATTCTGTCTAGATGCTAATGACGCCACTCTTATGTTTTTACCAAATGGTGATTTAATAATCTCACCCACAAACTGACTCAATTGGGAATGCGTCCTACTACAAATAAAAATCTAACAGCAAAAAATTATGGTGATGTAATGAACATATTTTACTTTTGTTGGTCTATGAATAGGTGATTCATCATCACTCTCTTCTTTTTCATCGTCTGAATGCACGTCTGTCTCCAAAACAATCTCATCATCCTCATTTTCATTAACTTCTTTTACAACAAGTGATTTAGTTTTGACAAATTTCTTCTCATTTTTCTTCTTTTTTAAATTCTCGATTTTCTTATCATATTCATCAATTTTATTTTGCTGAATCTTCAGTTCATTTATTTGTCGAGTCAGTTCAATTTCTTGAGCTTGGGTGGACAACCAGTCAGTTGAATTATTTGAAACTTGTCTCTTTTTTATTTCCAATTCCTCAATTTGTGATTTGAGAGTTTCTCTTTGATAAGTGTTGTGATCTTTCAACCAGCGAATAGCCCCACATAGGATACTAAGAGATTTTCCCTAAAAGAATCTTTGATTATGTGGAAATGCGACGCGGGGCACACAAACTGTTCCTGTGGGACTCTCGAAAATTCCAAACTTTTTATTTTCGATCACATCAAACAAAGTTTGCATGAAAGCATGCTGGATGGAGTAGGGCTGGAACGGAAATTCGAAACTAATTGGCACTTCCATTACAACTAAACACAAAATTAAAAAAATAACTCAGCAATTCGGGGTTAGGAATTCAATAATTTCCCCCCAAAACGTAACTCCGGCTTTATTACATAGATGGCGCACATACGTTTAAATAATTTTTATTTAAAAAAATATGTGTAAATATTCTAAATATTACAAGAATTACAAGGATGTCTACCTTCAAGTAATAACAAATGATAAATTTATGTAACAGTAAAATTTTATGGGTCACCACACATGAATTCCGCAAGTTCCACATACGACTTTCTCTTTTTCTTCTTCCTTTAGCGTTTCAAGTTGCGTGTCTTTAAAATGTATAAATTTTCCCTTTCATTTATATTTGTGATTACAATAATTCCGCAAATACATTCCCAATCTAAGGTGAGTTTACACAAAGTTATTTAAAATTATAATCAATCATTTTTTTAGCTACACGTGGAAGTTTTGTACGAATCTCTTTGTCCAGACAGTCTTAATTTTATAACTCAGCAATTACATCCCGTTTTTAAAGAATTATCACCCTATGTTGATTTAAAATTGACCCCGTTTGGTAAAAGTGCGGTAAGTTCCAACATTCCCCACTTTTTTTTCTAAATTTAAACAGAGTTTAGAAAATGGTGTGCAATTTATTTGCCAACACGGTCCCCAAGAATGTAAAGGAAACCGAATCCAATCTTGTGTTTTAAACGCCTTACCTGACCAAACGACTCAAGTCGAGTATGTTAATTGTTTCATGAAGACGTTCAAAAAAGGGCAAAAAAATGAAGAGGAATTTGGTCAAGCAGTGAGTAAAAAAAAACAAGTTTTCTTTTTATTCAATTTCTGACAGTGTGCAGAAGCTGTTGGACTAGACTTCAACCAAATTTCGCAATGTTACACTTCAGAAATCGGTACTAAACTTCAGTTATTAGCGGAACAGTCGACTGTGAAAATAACTCCAAAATTTGTTCCCACAATTTTATACAACGGAGTAAGCAAAAAATTAACTGTAAAACTGGGACTATTTGCATTGTTTCAGGTTTTTGACCAACAACTTCAAGAAAAGAGTCTTCTCGACTTTAGAGGCGTTGTTTGTAATATCTTGATACAAACGTATCCACAAGCTTGCCAGTCACCCTCAGTTATCAGACTTTAATTCTTTTAATGACAATTCTTTATTTCAAGTAAATTTGTTCACATAGAAAAATATGTATCTGATTAAATCTAATTCAAATGAAATTCCCAGTGTATCATCCAGGGAATGCTCTATTATATTTAAAGATATTATAACGTTATGACGTAAATATTTCAAAACATAACAAAAACTTCAATAACGCTAACAATTCGAAAATTAACATATTACTCAAAAAGAAAAATTATCTGTCTAATCTAAAAAACAAAAATTCATTTCATTTTTTATTTCTCTTGTTTTTTATATCCATGTTCTGGGAAATTCAGTTTACGATAATCACGCTTTGCTTCGCCCACAGACATTGCTTTAAATGATTGTTCTGCAAAAAAAAATCAGTTTCGTAAGTTAAATGTTTTTTATTTATTTACCAATTCGGGTTGCGGCTTTATTTGGTTGTCCCGCATTTTTGGGAGTCCTCATTGAAGAAAAACTGACGACAGAAGAAGCCTAAAATTTGTAAATAGAATATTCCTTTACGCAAAATTAAGAAAACTTACGCTGGATTTGCTGCTTCCTAATGCTGGGAAATTTCCATCATAACTTGAACTAAATGAGCCAATTCTACTTCTTGCCGCCTAAAATTTTGCGTTAAATTGTGTTTAATTTCTGCTTTAATTCTTACCTGGCGATAATCATCAGTACTGCAGACTGACGGGGCTTTGGAATTAGTTCTGCTCGGATATGTAAGGATTCTGGAATTTTTAGGAACATGAAAGCCTGGCACTAGTTGAATGTTTAAGTCAGCACAGCAATGATCACAAAGTGTGTAACAGTATCTGGTAACAATTGACTTGCTACAGTAAACGGAAATATCTGACATTTCATGAAACTAGAATATTTTTTAAATAAGTAGAGTTAAAGATTATGGTTAATTATTACATCGCATGAAATATCAGGTGTGTAGCTGTAGATGTCCTTCTCCAGTTCTGTAATACTGTAAGTTTCTGTAGGCCAGATGGTTCGCCCAGCAACTGCGTTTCTCAAAGCAAAAAATAAGAACTGAGAATTGTACACTTTAATTTCACCAGAGTAATTAAATTCTTGACAAAAATTTCCGATAACTCTTGTTGTCATTTCATGTGTTTTTTCATCAGCATAGACGATGAATTGATTTTCTTTGCCTGTCCATTTTTTCTGTAAAAAAAATGTAAAAGATGCGACGCATTAAGTCGAAGTAATACCAAAAAATAGGTCAATTCAGTAAAAACTTCATGAGTATTATTCTCATATGGTTCATCCTGAACAATTTCAAGCAATTGATGAGTTTCCTTTGAATGATTCAAGGCTCCTCCATAAAATCCCAACGGCAGTTTTCCTACACAAAACAACTAACTTTATCAAATATTTTTGCAAAAAACTCCCTAACCTGGTTTGACAATTCTGTGGAACACATCCTCTATTCCACTTTTAAGACTTACAGCAGCTACGGCCAGTTCACAGATAAAATATTTATCCTCAGAAGGATAATACGTCAGATGATTAACATGAATGATCAAAAAGATTTTTTCGTCGAGATCTACAAAACATGATTATTGTCTATTTTTGCGAAACAAAAAACCTACTCATAGCAAAATTTGCTGCTTTCAATGTTCGCGTAATATCATCCTTCATTTCCTGCTTCTTGTTTGCTTTTTCTTGTTCTTTTCTCTCAACCACTTCAATATCAACACCATCTGTTGTGTATCTTGCAGAGCTGTGCATGTCGCGAGCTCGCGAGGCACGTTCTTCATAAGGGTGTTTTTCTTCAGCTGACATGGACTACCAAAGATAAGAAAAAAAAATGTGTTCAAAAAATCATTCAAGATATTGATGTTTGGGAGGTCTGAGAAGCTTTTTTTAGGATGTGTGCGAAATGATGAAAAACATATGTGAGTGATTGGTACTATTTTAGTCTGAATCTTAGCTTGGTGTCTGATTTTGGGAACTTGTATCGAAGTCATTGTAATAAAGATTCCAAATGATACAAGAGTGTCCTTAGTCCTTAAGCCCGATTTTTGGTACGATTAAGCCTTAGTTAAAATGTAACTGTTCCATAGTTGCTAAGGTAGCATTGATCGTGATTGGTGTTGCTACAGCTCTTGACTACAGAATTATATTATAAAGAAACAAAAACATATCGTATACACTATACATACAGCAGAAACTAACTGCAATAAAATTCATAACTTGGATGTAAGCGATTTTTGTAAAAAAAAATCCGAAATAAGTCTATTATTGTTTTTCCTTCCCCAAGTATGGTTTTTGTTTATTTGCTCCTCGAAACGCACAGCCATCTCTAATTTTTTTTTAAATGTAATGTTATATCAAGTGACACTTCGTTCGAAAGGAATACAATGCACTATTTGTTTCCTATTATCAAAGCCTACGTGATATAAAAGTATTAACCAATTTTATAAGTTGAATACTATTTAATGCAACAAATGTTCAAAATAACTCCTACTTTTCCACAGGGTACAAAAATTGGAGCAATTGGAGCGACATCCTAAACGGATAATTATCCGTTTTAGTAATTATAAATACTGATAATTCCTCTACTTTCCCACAAAAAGACACATGACTAACTTAAAACCTATGTTATCTATGATCTATCATAAACATTGGATAGTGGTGTTGAAACGATACGTTGCAGACGGCTGGATGAGCCTAAATAAAATAAAAAAGATAAATACTATAACTTACTACAACACTGCTATGAAAACTATTACATCTTAGCCCTTTGTTTATAATATATTATTTAACTATTTTCAATTGTTTTTATGACTAGGTATCAACAATTCTTTGTTTGCAGGAGTGAGAAAGTTTCCTCTTACTCAAATCTCAATTCAAGACCAATTTGAGTATTGATTTTACAGAAGAGTTTTCAATCATTTTTTGTAATAAAATACACAACAAAAAGTGGAAAAAACGTGTAATGAGATTTTCAAATTGTGTGTAGATTTTGACCTTTCTCTTGATTGCAATAATCTTGAGGCAACATACATTGAATGAAAAAAATCAACAGATTTTTTTTAACATACCGTCCATTTTCTGGCAGCATATTCTTGTATTTCCTGCATATTTGTCTTATTTGGGTGTTTATTCCGACAATCCAAAACGAACTCCCAAAAGCCGTTTCGACTTGGTTTCTTGTTCTTCTTGGGGGGCATTCTGCAATTGTAGCAACAACAACAGTAACAACTACACAGTCAAATGCAATGCAAGAACAAGTGTCAACTTCTTATAATAATAATAAGAGATAAGAAACCACACTGTAAGCTTCTTGTTGAAAATTTTTTACCACCAGTTTTTTTATTGTCAGTGCCAGTGTGCCACCCACCAACTGAGATGAAAAGTCTTAATTTCCCTAAAAAAACTTTAAATTTCCCTATAGGTTTAATCATCTTCACAACAAAACAGTTGCAAAAAATTCCCAATTTCATAAAAAGGTCATCAATTATAATACACTAGAAGAATAAAACACCCAAACTATAAATAATTTTTATTTGATTTATTTCGGCAAAAATTACTCAATTACATAACTGTCAAACCCAAACGTCAGTTTTATAACCTAAAAATGGCTTTAACTGCGATTTCGCGACAGCTGTGCAAACCCCGTAATTTCTCCTCACTTAAACGAAGTTTTACTGCTGGAAAAATAATCTACAATAAGGATGCAATGCCTAGTTCAAACATTAAAAGCAACGTGCCCGGATTAAGTAAAAATGTCGTGGAGATCCCTAACCAACCTGTAGGGCCAGGAGCTGCGAAAAATTCGCAATACAAAAATCCAGAATACTTCTGTTATGACAAAACAAGCTATTTTGAAGCAGAGGTTGAAATGCTGAAGTACCGTTGTCCACAGCCTTCAACTCAGGTGTATTACAAGCCATCGTCGCAGTGAAATGTTTATTGTAAATATTTGTTAGATATTAAATGTAGTTAAGATTATGGGTGCATTTTTCTATTGAAGCGATTGATTTCCTGTAATTTTCAGCCAATGGTTTGTTGTTGAGACACACAGTGCCTCCTCCTCGAAACTTCTGATGATTCTGTTTAAAAATAAGTTTTTATCATATTCAATGATGTGATAACAATTACCATCCTGTTTATGTCGCCAATGCAAATCCACGCAGAATCATTAGTCACAGCCCATTTTGAGTGGTCTTGAGTGTCACTAAATGATGCATTTGCAGCATTTAGAGATACTTTTTCAATGTTATATACTCTGAAAATAAATCGATTAGGACATTTCAAACGCTCAAAGCATAAAACACACTTAAACATTTTTGTACAATTGGACGGTAATCTCCCAGCACCATTAAGCCAAGTCTCTACCAACAAACTAGACTGTAAAACTGGAGCAACCCAATCTTCATACAAATCTTTCCCAAATTTTTTAGACTTTGCAAATGATGTAAACTGAACATTTTCTCTAGTATTTAAAACAATTTTGCTGTACCAAGGGGGCTTCGTAATCGTGTTTCCGGAAGCAGCCTTTACAATCTCAGTTATTTTATCCCTTACACTAGGTGCCACAAAACTGGCATAAAATTGTGGTTGGTTGTACTGTAACTGAATTCCAACTTTGTTCAAATTTTCTAAATCCATTGAAATACACAAAAAACTTTGCCCCTTAAGAGTGCCACTTTTTGAAAATTGGTATCTAGGTGTTAATGTCGGAAAATGTGGAACTGAATGAATAAGCCAAAAACCGGACTCGAAGTTTGTTAAAATGACCCCTTTCGTGTGACCTTTTGAAGGATTACTCTCTCCATTTGGGGGTTGATCATTATAAAGAACATAAGTTGTTTCATTCTGTTAAAATAAATTTAAATTGGTGATTCATTATTTTTTAATTTTACCAGTCGTGAATAAAACGGTTGAAGGGTGGTTGCAATTATTGAATTTGTTTCATTAATTGAGTTTTTTGAAAAGGTCCATTGTGTATTTTTTGAGCTCAGATAGACGTAACCAACCCCATCTTCAATGAGTTTATTTTCGTGTTTTAATTTTGGTAATTTATAAACAATGAGCCTTGAAAAGTAATTGTTTAAATGATATTTTTTATTTAATACTTTACCAATCCACGGGATCATTATTTTCATTCATGCATTGTAAAGCACTGGAAACAATGAAGTAATTATATAAAAGCACTAAAAATGAAACACGCATATTAAAAATCTGAATGCAGTAATAATCGCACTAGAAATGGTGATAAAAACCACTTCCTCGTTCCTCCTCACTTATGCAACCATCAGTGAAAAATCCGATACTCTTGTCTAGTGTTCACAAGCAAATCACATTTTTTCCGTTATTTTTATTTTTGTACAAGATATACATTAATGGAATTTTAGGACAAATATTTTAACTTATGTAATAAATAAATTATATACAGTCAAGTCACAATGCCTTATGTGTTTGTATGTGAAATCACAAGCCACGAAATAATGAAATAAAAAAGAAAAATTGGATAAACTGCTAATACTTTTCTGCCGGGTTTTTGACTATCTCCCAGAAATACCACAGAGGCTGCAAAAAAAAACAATATAAACAATGGAAAGGAAATAAGTAAAAGTTACCATAGGTGGCCCAAACAAACCCAACCATTGAGACTGTAAATCTTAGAAAAAATAACAAATTTGTCTGTTCCACTAGAAGGATCACTCTGCAAACAATTAAAGCTATGGTTGTGGGCAGCAAACAATAGCCTAGGACACATATACTTTGGAAAAATGATCTGAAAATAGAAATTGAAAAGTTTGCTGTAGTGTATTTAGTGAGATTACATATTGCCGCCTAATAATTTAGAATTTAATGTGACAACCATTGAGCCTACCCAAACTATAACAAATACTTGGGCAAATTCAGGCCCACCATCATTTGAATTATCAGCTGTGTCTGATCCCTGCAAAACCCTACAAAGAACATTATACAATATAGATAATTGCAAACTCACATGGCCATGAATGTGCACAACATTAGAGGTCCCCACAAATCCCCTAAAAACTCATTTTTTACAAAAAATTTGCAACAAACAAGTACTTACAATCTTTGAGTAAAGCCTTTTTCTCTCTAGGAAGTAAAACGTGTGCGAATTTAATTCCTACAGCCTTCAAGTCGCGCAACTAATAATGTAAAGTAAATCATGAAAAAATCCCCGGAAAAAATAATTTACTCACTATCGTCTCGCGGATGGGTTCATCCAACGTATTAAAGTCGGGTTTTTTTCCTATATTTTGTGTATTTTTATTGCTTGGAAAGGACATTTCCCCCTCAACAAGCCCTCCAACATCGTCAAACATCTAAAATTGTCAAATAAAAATTTCAACTTCTTCGAATAATTAAAGTACCTCTAATTTCGTGTCATCCATTATTGCAGAGAGTCTTTAAGCCCTATTATCCCAATTTTCCAAAATCAATCTCTGTTTACAAAATGTGAAAAACATGTCATCTGTCAACGTATACAATATTCCAGAGAGCTGTTTTATCGATCAGCTACGTGACCTACATAGCGCCAACTAGACCCAATTTAAAGAACTATACAAAACTTGAAATTAATTCAAATTATTCGAAATTAATAAACAATAATTAAGTTTAGTTTTATTTGAAACGTTCAGTTCTTGTTAGAAAATTAGTTTGGTTTAAAGTTTTATTTAATTTTATGTTTGTTGAGACACATTTTGTAAATGTGCCTTTAACCAAAAAATTAACGAGCGACTAAAACTTTCATCGGTCACCTTTACTTAAACGATTGGTACAAATCTAGTAATGCAGGGGTCAGCACCTTTATTGGAGGAGCGTAAAGAAGAGGGAAACTTTCCCAATTCAAAACTTGTTTTATAAAATGCATTTAGAGCATGTAATGGTTGCAAAAATTAAACTTTCTACCGATATGGAGACATAAACACAATAGACAATTCTCGACTTGTGTCTCTTCCCCAGCACGAATTGTTTATAAATAATAGATGTTCAAATAAATTTTATTCAGTAAAGTGCAGTTTCGTCACAATGTGGTTTTATTTATGTTTTATCTTTATTTTCCAAAGTTATAATTGTGAAGAAAGTGTAAAAAATAACACCTTTGACGATATATTTGAGAATAAAGATAAATCAACCGATGAAAAAAATCCAATTCAATTAGAAAGAATAACGCAACCTTCGGCCCAAACCCAACACATTGAACGGGCTATAAATTCACCAAATGCGACAAAGAAACAATCCGAATTCAGGCCTAGCCCACAATTGGAAACCTACTACGAATTCAATAAATTTCCAGTGCCTCCGGCTTTACCAGAAGCCAAACATTTTTCTCACCTCAATTTTGGTGAATCTTTACCACAGTGGCCTAACACTTTTACCACAGAGTCTCCATGGTCAAAAAAAATTCAATTCCCAACGACTTCAACAGTACCAACCACAAAAGAACGCCCTTATGAGTTTTACAATGTGGAGAAAAGCACCGGAAAATCTTATAATGTGCCACCAAAAACCGACAACTGGAGCAACAAGAACCAAGTTGTGTACAAAAATCAGTTTGATTTTAGTGCCCCTGTGCCGGTACCACCTAGCGGTGGTTCTAAGGGTGGTCTAGGTGCTATTGCGACATCCTCACAGGAGGGTTTGGGGAACCCCTGGAAGAAAATTATCAAATTTCTAACGGCTTTCATTCCGATTGGTTTATTGATAAGTGCATTAACACCGACTGTGATAACAGTCCAGTCAATGAACGGAACGTAAGTAACACTTTTTAAATATTTTTATACCAAAACTACTAATTTAATTAATAGCCAGTTGAGATCAAGAGCGGAAAAACCAGAGAACCACAAATCAAATAAATTACTTTCTTCCCTGAGTTATTTTAACTCGATTGGGTGCGAAGACCGGATTTTGTGTGAGTTGGTACTGAGCGCAAGTACCACTCAAAACGCCGAACATCACATTGAAAACTTGCTCAACACTTTCACTCAAGAGTGAGTAATTTTTCGAGTGACTTTTGAATCGTCAGTACTTTTTTCTAGTGGAAAAGCAGTCGAGAAAGCTGAAGAGATGAGAAGAATTTTTGAGGCTGTTAAAAAACAAGACTGTCGGCCTATTGTTTGTAAAAATATGAAAGACAAGACGTAATCATTGTAGTTTTATTTACCTAAAAAATGACTGGGACGACTACATCATGCAAGTAGTCAATTTAGACTGGTCTAATTTGATTTACAGTTATTTGCAATAGAGTAAATGAGTGAAATTACTCTCACCCTATTTTTTCTAATTGGTGTAATTTGGAGTGATTTTATAATAAATAAGTAAAACAATGTTATGTATTTGTTACGGCACCTAATTGTTTAGTTTGCAAAACCAAATAATTCAGCATCTTTGTTATTTAACAATAGTTATGTTATGATAATGACTTGAATTAGGAAGCCTATAAAAGCGTTCCATTCTATTTCGGTCCAGTAAAAAATAATTTGCCAAAATTTGCCATTAAAAAATCATTCGTGTATAACAAAGATGCAATAATTGTCTAGAAAGTGACCACATGTCCTGGAAAGTAAAAAAAAATTAAATGTGATAAAGTAGGTAGGTATCCATCACTAACAACTTTCCTGACATTCCTATGCATAAGCTATACTTTACTCAACTGACCACATCAATCTCCTTCTCACTTGAATCATTTTCCACGATTTTTCGCCAGTACGCAAATTTCTAAATGTGAAATGCGGCATATGTTGACAACCTCTTATTTTTATTGTACCATTAAGTGATGATGAATGATGGTCAAATAATGAAAGAGTAATTTTCTGTGGCATAAAACACATGTTCGGATTCGTTTATTGATGTCATGGGATGCCGACAAGCTTGTTAAACCGACCCCCTTATGCGACTTATTAAATTTCGAAAAGTACTAAATAATTGATCTCCTAATTTGCGATTTAATTTAATTAGTGCGTTGAGTGGTAATGAACACTAATTAATTAGTAAATTTGTCGAACTTTCCATTTTACCTAGAATTTCTAAGAGATTTATTTGCATTTTATGTGCCAATACCAAGGGGAAGGTCAGGTCTAATTTTATATAACTCGTTTCGAGTTTCGGACAATCTTTTGCGGTTATCTTACACGTAAACAAATATAAATTCGATAGTGTTTATGATTTATTCCGATAAATACATTTGGTGTCATCAGAGAAAATTATTATCTGTAATAACATCTATGATATTGCTAATTTCTTTGCAGACACTTAACACAGTTGTTTAATTATAATTCAATGTCTATATTCATTATTTTTACTGCTGACATTTGTGTCAGAGAAAGATGATTTTATGTCACGATGAAGGAATCTTACCAAAAATACAAGACCACCAGGTAATTAAATAGGTTTGAGATAACTTAATTTAGGTGCATTCTGTTTTGACAGGACCTCTAATGGAAATCAAAAGAGATTAAGGTCACGAAGTGGTCGGCAAATAACTGGCCTTTTATCCAATTTATCAGACGCTTGATTGTTTTTTTATCATCCGTTACTTGCAAAGTAGAAGATCTTGTTTTAGTGGTTGCTATTTTGCCCTATCGCCTGTTTGCTTTAAAATGACAAAGACTCCGTTATTAACGATAAAAATTCTTGTTGTATAGTGGCAATCTTATTCTCCAAAATTTTAATTTTAAAGTAGTACTTAGTACTGAGAAAAAACATAATAAATACTTTTAACAAGATTATTAGTGTCATCGCTGTCGCTATTAAAGGATGCAAAGAATGTTGATTGTTGATTTAATTATAATTATTTTAAAATCACTGTGGGCAACATAAAACAAACAAATCCTTGCCTACACATTATGCAAATATTGAAAATACACCAACTGCTATTTATACCCATATTCCAGGTCACTAAAAATAATTTTAATTTATAATGGATTCTAAAAGCGAAAATTGATTTAATACATGTTTTTTGGTGTTAAATACATGTGTAATACAAAATTTGAGTTTCTTCTTTCTTATTTTTTCTTTGAGAACAGTTTTTTTTACATTAAAAATGTATTTATTACAAAAGTAAAAAAAAACTGTCATTACTACTATTACTAGTACCAAAAAAAACATCTATTCTAACTGTCTCTGAGGTATTATTATTGCGAAAGCATTTATCGAAGCCCGGGTAGCTCAGTCGGTAGAGCATTGGACTTTTAATCCAAGGGTCCAGGGTTCAAGTCCCTGCTCGGGCAGCCCAACTTTTTTTCTATAAATCCTTAAAATTTTTAATTTATCTGAATTAGTAGCTACTAAATTTGGTAACCAGTTTCTTGTCATGTATTTGCATATTTACATCCTATACGTATCCTACATTCAGCAAAATAATTGAATGCAGCAATTGCCTAGTTCTATACGACAATAAAAATGTAAATGCATCCCATATTAGAATTTCAAAGTTAGAGCCGAGATAATTCATATCTTTTATTCGCAAGCATCTTCATCTTGTTGTGAAACGATTAGAATTTATCAATGTAAATGAAAATATTTATTGTAGAAAGTTGTATTAACAATAGATATTCCTACACCAAACTGTAATAACCCAGTTATCGTTTAAGTTAATTCTTGACCAATTAAATAAAAAAACACAATTTCTGCATGTTGTTAACCTGTTAGAGCGATTTAGCGGTGTGCAGATGTTAACCGCAAGTAGGACGTACAAACGCCAGCTTTTACTTTCAAAAAAAGAACAATACTTCTAACGACAGTATGCAGTGAAGCCGATTCGGCACACAATCAGATGCTTACCGGACTATACCATTCTGAGTTGGCCCATTTACACGAGGAAAAGTAAAATTAATTGCAAGAATTGTCAAAGACTCGAACAATGGCAAGCAGCCTTGAATGGGAGGCAATCTGGGCGTTCTGAACCAAACCTAAGTTCACTACCACGACGTAATAATTACCAGTGACACTCCTTGGATACGAAAGGTTAAGCACTTGGACTTTTGCGCAAAGTTATTGGAAATATTTGCGCTTCCGGCTCATCCAAATCACTTTCATTTAAAGCAATTCAGTAATTAATCAAAAAATTAAGTGTTTTGTACTTTACAATGTAGGCTAATAATAATTCACTATTTAAGTTCACCCAAGTGGAATTCCGAGTTCCGTCCCGCTGTCACAGATTCACCGGATTTTTCGGTGGTCAATAACTCTAGCTGATGGAATTAATTAATCACGAGAGAAATGGTTATGTCAACTGGAGAAAGACAATGGCAATTCAACTAATTTGTACTTAAAGTAGAGCGAGTTGAGTGTTGTAATTTATTAGAACGTGTAATAACAGGGTGGTTTTTATTGTTTTTACAGTCGTTAGAAAGTAACACTTGGAAAAATTGTTAAATGTTTATTTCCAAAAAAAATTATTTAGCTCTCAGTTACCTCGCGTAATTAAAATGACTAAATTACATGTTCAATCCATTCTCATCAATTTTATTGCCAATAAACAAGTTTTAATGGTCCTTCAGTGTTGTTATTTGGCGGACATGAGTGCCATTAAAACATAATCAAAATCTAGTAAGTAAAGTCAGGAAATTGCCGGCTACTAATTAACTGTTACAAATTAAAAAATTAGCATTACCTACTTCAAAGTTTTTTCACACATACTCGTAATACACTTAGATCGGTTTATAGTAAGGCGAATTAAAGATGAATTCGTTGTTAAAAGTTAATGCGCGATTAACTCGTGAACCTGAGCATCTGGTTGGTTCAATTTGTCCACGTGATCAATTAATCTGACGTTTGATTGCAATTAACCTAATGAGGCTTCTATAAACCGACCTTACAGGTGGATTTATACATTGCAATTAAAGATTCGATAATTAATAATAAAAATTCGTTGAATTTTGATGAACAACCAATCAGATTTCAGGATTTTGAAGTTAATCGGGATTGATTTTAATTTACTTTCTATAAGTTATAAAATTTACTTTTTGTTATTTATAATAGTATATTATTCAACGAACAGATAATGATAGCTATTATGGCGTATAATAGCATTATAGCTTAACAGTCGTAGACGAAAATCTTTTGTATGTTTTCGACGTTTTCATGTTTTCATGTTATAATAATTTATTCGTTAATTTTTTTGGATGTGATTTTATARGTCGCCAATTTATTTACGTTGTTAGTTACCAAATAATTTAAYTTGTTCTGAGAATGATAGATTTCTTAACAAACCTATTATATTACAAAGTGACGCCAAAATTTGAAATATGTTCTTGTCTTTTGTTAAAACCTCTT